CAACAACAGGTGAAGGGTCCTACTAAACCCCACTTGAGCACAGATGACAAGATTTGTCTGTAGACAATACAACACAAACCATGCAGCAATGTCACCTCTCTTTCAGAAATATTAGACTTCTGATAATGCCATACAGCTATGAAATCTGTGGGATCCTTAGAAAGCTGTGAACTATGCTTGTGGCAGAGAGCAGAACATCCATCGCACAACATGTCCTTCTTGAAAGAATTGTATAAACCATGATAAGTCAATACACTTGAAAACAAAGATGAAGGGAATGCCCTTGGCATGCCCACATTATCCCTGTGGGAAAGGCAAAGGCTTGGGAGGAATATTCTTGGCTCTTTTCACATGACTAAAGATGATGAGACATAGCATCAAGACATAACATACATCCCTTGCTGTACTTGTAATTGTTTAAGCTAACTGTAAACATCACCTCCTGTTTTTCGTGCTTTAATAACAAAAACGAGAAATCCTTTGTTTGCACCACTCTTGAGATCAAATGCCTGGAGTCTCCCGGTTACCCCATGCAGATCTTTGGCATTTCCTTCAATCTGAAGACTTACCCTTGCTGGCTGGGGCCCGTTGACAAAAACCTACTTTTGAAATATCCTACAACTTTTAGCAGTCCCCTGCCTACTGGGTAGCTTTATATATCACCATGCCATGCCTGGCACTTCACATACCTACAATGCTAATGTTTCTACACAGTCTGATGTTCCTAGTCTGGCATTTATATACATATCTTCATCTTGCCTAGTATACTTCATACACACTTTTTCACTTGGCTAATTCCTGCTATTCTTCCAGGCCTGACCCAGCCTCCTTCAAGGAGCTTTTGTGCTCTACATAGGATTAGGTAGCCCACCCCTGTCTTGCAAGAGTCCTTGTTTATTGATGTTTAACCTACACTGGATTACTGCTTTCTGCTTTCTCCATTACTGAACCCTGAGTCCCTCATGGAAAGTTTTGTTTGCTGTGCCTTACTCATTTTTGCAATCCTCATTTGCCTTAGCTAATATGAAAAAGTCTAGATAATTATTGAATAAACAAATGTTTAAACAAATTCACAAAAATAGTGAGGTTATATAAAGAGATCAGTGAATATACAGCAGTTTCTACCACATACATATTTGTCTTATACCCACACATATACATGTATGCACCTGTAGTTCTTAAATTTTAAACTATATAAATATAAATGTCATTCCTATAAAGTTGGCAGCATCTCTCATCAGAAATGCTTAAGACCAGGGGTGTTTCATATTTAAGATTTTGATTTCCAGATTTGGGGGTATTTCCATACACCTAACAAGATATCTTTAGATCAAACCCCAGTCAAAACACAAAATTCATTTTGTTTCATGTATAAGTTATACACAGTTTATTGTAATTTTGTACAATTTTCGGTCAGCTTATCTGAACTGATCAATCACTTGAGGTGATGAATTTTCCATTTGTAACACCATGTCAGTGCCCTGAACAGTTTCAGATTGTGGAGTCTGGATGTGAATGCTTGCTTTTATAACCATATTTTGACAACTGAGGACATTCCAAGCCTGCACTCTAGGAGGAATGTTGCAGGTGGGCTGTGGGCAAGCCCAGGGGCTCCCTATGTACACACTCAATTCACCATGGCTTTTATTCCAGACTCTCTTACATTGGAATTTATTTCTTCTCCCTCACAAGCTATAGATTGTTGCTGGAGAGCTTCTCTCCAGGTTCCCCAAGCCCCGCAGTCCCACAATCCACTTATAAAATAATCACTCAGATGCTTGTATCACTTATAAACTGTATGGCCGTGGCAGGCTTCTTGTTAACTGTTCTTATATCTTAAATTAACCCATTTTTATAAATCTATAGCTTGCCACGTGGCTGGTGGCTTACTGGCTTCTTTACATGCTCTTCTCCTGGCGGTGGCTGCAGTGTCTCTCCTCCTTCTTCCTGTTTCCCCAATTCTCCTCTCTCTTTGTCCCGCCTATACTTCCTGCCTGGTCACTGGCCATCAGAGTTTTATTTATATAGAGTGATATCCACAGCAATGGATCCAAGAACATCCTAGCCACTGAGGATGTTTACTCTTAAATAAACAAAATTTATTCCAAAGATAAGGTTTTCATCGAGCATTTAAATGTCAAACCTAAGTAATTCATATTACTTTTATAAATACATTTCTATTTCATTGCTTTCCTTATGAGATTTTATATTTAATAAAAGCAATATCTGTCACCTGAACTTTAACTTACCTTTAGTATAATATCATTATTTCCACTTATTACACTGTAGACATGCATAGAAAAACTGAAATTTGAATTAATATTGCAAACTAAAGGAAGGCTATATAGGAGACTGGGAGATTTTGAGTAAAGCAGGTCTGGCTTTGAGCATCTCACTGAGAGAATGCAGGGATAGAGCTAAGCCTGCATTTTTGAAATTCAAAAATGGAGAAAAAAAATAACATCACATGGGTTTGGGGAAAAAGTAATATAACAAATGACAAAACACAGCTCTTTTCTATAAACGGCTATTTTTTTTGTTCCATCGTCATCATCTTCATCATTATTTATCAGTTGTTATTCAAGTTTAATGATTAGGTTTAAGCAAAATATACTACTATGTAGTGTTTTCCTCTGAACACAGCTGCACCTTCTGCACCTTACAGAAATGATTGAAAATAAATGGGAAATTACCTCAAAATGGTATGTGTAAATGACATGTAAGATTATTGCTCATTAAAACTTGAAACATTTGATTAATAACTTTAATATGCAAGGCAGAGGCTAGTTGCTATGTGAGATACAAAAATACCATAATATGATCTCTACCCTCAAGTAAGTTATGATAATGAAGAAGAGAGACTACTAGGCATGGCGGCACACACCTTTAATCCCAGCACTTGGGAGGCACAGGCAGTCCAATCTCTGCAAGTTCAAGGCCAACCTGGTCTACACAATTTGTTCCAGGCCAACCACACAGTAAGAAAACCAAAAGGAAAAGAAAAGAAAGCAAAAAAAGACATACAAATAGTTATAAAGCGAATAAGATTAAATGCCATATAACAGTGTAAAAAATGCAATTTTATGGGAATGATTTTTATGTTTATGTAGGTTAAAATTGGAGAACTGCAGGCAAAAACTCTACAGAAGTCAACTCCATAGACAAATCTCTTCAGATACTTGCACTTTGTAGAAAATCACACATTTGACACTGGTCCCAAGATTTGAGAGTTTAGCTGTGCAGCAACACACACAAAACCTAAAACATCATCAGTATTCTCCTGTATTTATGGTTTTAGGGGTTTTTGTTGTTGTTGTTGCTTTTGTTTTTCTAGGGTTTTGTTGTTATTGTATTGTTTTGTTTTTTTGTATTATTTTTGGTGTGTGTGTGTGTGTGTGTGTGTGTGTGTGTGTGTGTGTGTGTGTGTAGACAGGGGTTCTCTGTGTAACCCTGGCTGTCCTAGACCTAGCTCTGTAGCCCAGGCTGGCCTTGAACTCACAGAGATCCTCCTGCCTCTGCCTCCTGAGTGCTGGGATTAAACCTGTGAACCACAACCACCTGGTATGTATTTATGTTTTAATAAAATAATAGTTGCTGAATTATGAACGTAACACATACATAATACATGTATTAGATGGCACATTCTGTATTATAACCAAACTGTTACTGTAATGTCAGAAACAATGATGGCCTGAAGATCACAAACCACTGTAACACTCATCTTCAAGAATTCTTTCAGACCCATTTCCAACTTGGAACCCAGCACTGAGATGCATGTGAGGCCAGTTCCAGCTCCATACTGAGTACCAAGATGCATGTTGATTCTGTGACGTACTACACCTCTGCATACTACATCTCTGCACACTACACCTATATGTATGACATCTCTGCACACTACACCTCTACATAATATATATATATACATATACACACACACACACACACACACACTCTACACCTCTGCATAATATATATCTGCACACTACACCTTTCCATGATTCCAGGGAGTTAAGACACATTTCACCAATTCTTTCTTTCATCCCAGAACTTTGTTTTTATTATTAATTTTTATTATTATTTATTATCTTGAGAATTTCATACAACATGTTTTGATCATATTTACCACTCTCCCAATACTTGAAGATCAACCCCCATTCCCTACCCACCCAACTTGGTGCCCTCCCCCTTATCCATCAAGTCCAACTTCTACTGCTCATATATTCTTCGCTGTATGGCCTTGCAGTGGAGTGTGGTCAACCTACCATCTCAACACTACCAGGGCAACACTTTCTTTTTTAATTTTTATGCTATGCGTGTTAAGTGTTTTGGCTGCATATATGTCTGTGTACCATAGGCCTGCCTGGTGTCATGGAAGCCAGAAGAGGGCATCAGATCCCCTAAACTGGAGGTATAGATTGTTGTGAGCTGCCACATGGGTGCTGGGAATGGAACCTGGATCCTCTGCTGAGCCATCTCTCCATCTACAGGAACAACTCTTAAAGAAAACAGACTTTTCCTCTCCCTGAAGCTTTCAACAGCCAATATCTCCTTGCCTATAGATAGGGCTTCGTGCCCCCTCCTGTCTTCAGAGCAGGATTTGCTCTGGCTTGAGTTTGCACAGGGCTTGTGCATGCTGTCTTAATTGCTGGGAGTTCATATGTGTAGACATGACCTGTGGACAATAAACAAAATTACTGTTTATTTTCACAGAAAGTGATGTTTGCTACAGAAAAGTAGAGGTGGACAGTAAAGAGCAGAGGGCCATGAGGCTGGAGAATAAAGGGGAAGGGGAAGGGACAAGAGGCCTGAAGCTTTCCAATATTTAGTAATCAGAACGTTAAGTAACCAGTCAGGAATTCTAACCAGCAGCAGCCAGTGGAGTCGTTACACTGGCTTCCCTTTGCCCCTTATTTTTCCCTAAGAAGGAGTAAGTTATTTATCAATAATTTTTGAAGATAACATGATAATAGATGGTTCCATTCCTTCCTCTTTGTCTGTAGGGAGCAGGCTGCCACAATAAAGTCTGTGCTCTGCTCTGCTGGCCTCTATGGAATGTTCCCAGAGACGATGTGAGAAGGCCAGCAATTTTCTGTGCTTCTGAAAACTGGTGAGTAATTCTGCCTCATTCTGGAATTCAGAGCCACACAGCTAATTTATCCACAGCTCTAAGCCATGTTTTCTGATAGTAGATTTACCAATAATAACAGTAATGTTCTATGTATGTCTGCTTGACTCCTTTGCCTTATCTAGCTCCTAACTGTCTCAAAGCTATGGGCAGCAAGAACCAAGTTCATGGGTCCCCTCAGAACCTAATATTCTAAAGTACATTTCAGACATGTAGCATTTGCAAGAGTATGTTCTACACCAGAGAAAGTGCAGTTGCGTGCTGTGGGATGTTAATGTATGTCCTGTGGGAGCCCTTCTTGGGTTCCTTGTGGCATTACCCAGCAGGTTTGCATAGAGGATGATTAGGACCATGGGCCTGAGTGCAGGTGTCTGAGATGGTCTGCACTTGGCTGTACCTGGGGATGGTCTGTATGTCAAGTTGCTCT